AGCAGGTCTAGACTAAACTCTTTATAACATTAGAATAGAATAGAAATAGAAAATATCTTGACAGCACAAACATGACAGACAGTGGATTAACAGTGTTATGAGTCGGTGTTTAATCGGCGGATATCGGTCCACCAAAAAGCATAATTTTAATGAGAAATGTATTATTATTATAAAACTGCTTGCTTCTCATTCAAACGGTCTTCCCCCACTAAAACAATACAGCTAACCAACTGACTGATGAAAATGTACAGTTCAAAATGTGTCTTCATAGATTATATTGATACTGAATTGACAAGAAGACTGTTGACATATGAAGCCCTTTATCTTGTGTTTCTAGGATTATGTGTTCTCATGGACACGATAAGAATTTTTAAAATGTCTTATTTCTTAAAGGGAGTTTGGCATGATATTTTGCCCTGGTGGAAAGTGTGCCAGGACCCAGTTTTTAGTATTCTTGTTTAGCCTATACTTGTAATGGTGATGATAATGAATATATCCACAATTATACATAAGCACATGTCTGTGTACGTTTATATCTCATATGCGTTTGGAACTGTTTTGTAAATGAGGACACATCTGCCACCAATAATTTAAAGCTACAGTAGGTACATTTTATGAAAGTAACCTTTTTCTCAAATTTTTTTTTACTATATGCTGACAGTAGTACGTGTGCATGGGGAGCTTTGTTTACTGTATATATACAATTTATGTGTGTTGAGAATACAGCATGTATGTGCATGTGTGTCGGCATTATGTTCTTACTCCCCTACACAAGGTACATACACACGTACTAAAGCAGACCAGTGCAAGGTATTCTACTTACCCATGTTTCAAATCTACTTGAACTTTCAACACAGTAAAAACTCTGAGGTATGACAGTGACAGTAATGATGATACAACAGGAATAAAGAATACAGCAAGAATAAAATCCTGTGAGAAATTCTTTTATATTTCAGAATTTGACAATCATTAAAAGCAATATAATTGAGGAGCTATTCAATCCCACAGTATTGCTACAGGCTATCAGAAGCCCACATCAGTTGAACCCTGCTAATTACATTTCTCCCACTGAGAGTCTGGCAGGCCTGAATTGAAAAAAAAAATGCTGAAGCACAAACTGTGTGTGACCTCTCCTATCGCTTCGCCGCAGATGCTCGCCCTTTTGAACACCCTGCTCTTGTCCTTTGTCCTGCAGTGCCGTCCTTCTGGGGGCTGGTAAACTCTGCCTGGAACCTGTGCTCAGTGGGGAAGAGGCAGTCGCCAGTCAACATCGAGACCAGCCACATGATCTTTGACCCTTTCCTTACGCCCATAAAGCTGAACACAGGCGGACGCAAGGTAAGGACACGCAAACACTCCCGTACACCGTTGGCTTGATGGATGCTGGGGCTTTGTTGTCCCTCTTTTTGTTGCAACTCTTAAGACGTCGCAGTACACCGCTCTGGTCCTAGTTGCTATTGTGTTGGTTGCTGTTTCAGTGCTATTGTAGTTTGATAAGGTGTGTTTCCCTGATCGATGATCCTGACTGCTGTTTGTGTTGGCAGACAATGTGAGCTATTTGTACAAGGAACCCTCTCCTGGAGATAAAATACAGAACAACCACCTATTCAGAGATGCACAATGCTAGTGTTCTGGTTCAAGGAAAGCCTTAACATTATCTTAAGGGCTTTACAGATGAAATCCCGCAGCCTTACAGCAGATTAGTCGAGCATATTGTTTATTATTTTCTCCTGTACAGTGGTGCACCAAGGACAGTGTGTATCAGAAATCTGTTCCATCCTGGGCCATATGACAGCAGCTAATTGGGAAGCCATCACAGATGGCTGCTTTCAAAAGTGCACAGTTGCATGGTGAGATTAACGTTATGATTAGTTTATGTTTACATGCCAGCAGTGAGCACAGGGTTGGCCTTGGGCAGTGAGAGGGCATATAGGACGCATTGCAGTTTACCACCTATGGCACATCTAACATATCCAAAAATAGACCCTTGTTATGTCCTTGGACCCCCTATCTGATCCGATCTGGCCTCTTATTGGAGGAGCTGAGAATCAGATTGCAAATCTGTCCGCACTCAGAGAATGTAATAGAATTGGTGAGGAAACCCGTGATTAGAATAGTCACTCATACATTTTCTCACTGGTGTAATTTCTACTTGAAATGGAAATTAAATTTAACAATTCCTCTTTTTGCAAGGGCTCCCCTGCTGCTCCCTCAAGGACTCCACTTTGAGAGAAGCCACCCTGCAGTGTGTCCGGAGTGAGGACATCACTCACAATGGCACAATTTTACTGCCATTAGGATGAATCAGAAGGAAGCAGGGGGAGTTGACAGGGAAGTAAAGACTGCACTGTGTTACTTAGGGCTACGTCTCAAATATTAAGGGGCAATGTCATCCCTCTTGAGAAATGCTTCTGGACAAACAGTAAGAGATATGCCACATTGAGACTGTCCTTATACAGCATATATTGATGTTTTCTTGACAAGTGACCTCTTGCAGTCACGATGGTAATCACTGTTCTCTGAATAGCCAAAGCAGAAGCAGTGTGATGTTGTTGTACTGTTGGGGTAGATGGTCGATGCAACAAATGAGTAATACCTCGATACCAGAGACTACCGGTTACATCCTGTCCTTTTTAATGAACAACGGCATCACGAGCAAAGCTCTTGTGGTCTCAGTGATGAATACCCTTCCTTCCTTTTATTTCTTCACAATAAAAGCTTTCGTGAACCACTGTGAGGCTTGCACAACAGCAGGAAATGTTTGGTTTGCATTAGCAACATCTTAACACGGCAAACAGAGCTCTCATACAGCTGCAGAAGAGCGACTGCTTTACAAATGAGGCTGATGTCTGGAAGTCAAAAGATAAATGTGAAAAAGAGTGTGGGGAGGGAGTCCAAACCACAGAAGATTTAGTCAGATGCCACAAAAATACTGAGAGCTGAAAGTATTTAGATCTAGAAATAGCACATTGTCATCAAGCAAGCCAATTTAGTGCAAGACAGGGAAACACAGTGGCATGAGGTTCCTTAGTTTGAATCTGGCCAGGAACATTTGGCTGCATGTTATCCCCTTTCTCTCCTTGCATTTTCTGTCCATTTTTGTTTCCTAAACATAAACACATAAAGCGAAAATACCCCAAAAATTACTTACTAAAATTACTTTTTTTGTAGAGACTGTTAAAAGCTGACCCCAGTAGACCCTGCCACCAGATAGGCACACAGCTAAAGTGGACTATATTAAATGGTAAATGGACCTGTACTTGTATAGCACCTTCCTAGTCTTCCGACCACTCAGAGCGATTTAACACTACATACACAGAGTTATGGCAAAGCCAATCGAACAGCAACTAACGCACATTCATACAGATTCAAACAACTATGTACAGCATCGGGAGCAATTTGGGGTTCAGTATCTTGCTCAAAGATACTTTGACACGTGGCGGGAGGGGCCGAGGATCGAACCAACAACCTTCCGATTAGTGGACGATTTGCTCGGCCTCTAAGGTATTAGGCTTGCTATTAGTTGGCTAAACTTAACCAAACTTCATTCACACTCATAGGGTCATATGGGTTGTTTTGGACAGTGACAATTTAACTATTTCAGGTGTGAGGATTTGCTGGGTACTCTGTAGTTGAGGTATATACAAGAAATTCTATGTTGTTCTATAGGTTGTTTGCCCCCATCTTACCTGTATAAGCCTTTTGTGACCGATGACCAATCAGCAGGATCACACCTTTTGCAGCCCAGTCTCACACCAGGGTGTGTATTGTTTTGCCTCACCTAGATGTTAAAGGTGAAGTATAAAAAACAAAAAAGTCTGTGTCGTGAGGGTTGATGGATGGATGGATCCGTCAAACAAATAGGACTTTCACCCAGGCAACCACTGTTTGGGTCCTGTGTGAAACCAAAAACCAAATTTGACTTATTTTAAGTCATGTACGGAAGTTAAACATGCTTGTTAAGCTAACAATTTAAAGCCAAGAAAGATGGAAAGACACATCAAGATTATTAACATTTATTCTCAGCATTACTATTTAACAATCTGGAAATGAGACTCAACAATTAACTATCTTACTAACTTACTGCTCTGATTGGTTGTTTTTGTTCCCACGCAGTGGATTCTTGCAAATGCCATTAGTAGCGCTAGTAGGAGCCAGAAGAACCTGATTTTTTTTCTCAGATTATTTATCTGTTTCATGTACTTACCGGGGGTCAGGGGGGATATAGTGAAAGTTTTAGCAAAAATAAAAATTTTACCCTACCGCTTTTGTGGGTACCAACATAGGGGAACACGACACAAGAGAGGAGCATTTGAACCACCATATGGTTTAGGTTTTGAACAAAGCAGCTGGTTCCTTCGGTGCGTTGGAGCCTTTAACTGACCGTAACATACCCTTGAGGCTTGCACGGTTCAGGGGGTTTGGAATAGGGGCCTATATCATATAGCTATTTGTATATAGGGGGTGTGGCCTTAAAAAGAGGTGTGACCCTCCGCGAATGCTTTACATGGACATGAAAGTGTTAAGCGTCTGTTGCATATTATTGTCGGCTAACTGTGAATGATGTGGTTAAAGCAAAGTGTATTAGAAAAAAATGTCTACAAGCGCCCAGAGGAAGCAAATTAACACGCTTTTGTGGGTAGTATTGTTGTCATAACATAGAGGAGGGTAAGGTCCTCTTTGTTGTTTCGTGTTGTGGATGGCCTAGGTGTGATAATTGAGCTGCTTAAGAAAGTGATTGGGTTGAGGAGATAGGTATGAAGTAATAGGGTATATATGCAGATGAGGTGTATACCTTAGTATTAAATCTTCACAATTGTATGCCACCCTGATTGGCCTATAGTACAACACGCGGCACACACCAAAGAAAACCTGCATGGGATGGTGATTTCACGTTAACACGATGTTGAGGCTTAGGCAGGCTACAGTATTAGGGTAGGT